TGACTGCCCCCCAATACTAGTTGAGCAGGTCACCCTCCAAGTGAGGGAGACTTGGCAGGGATGGGGTCTGATCTGATCTGAAGAAGAAACATTAAGCCTGTTCAGACTATTGGAAGAGGGTGCAGGACCTCATAATACAGACAGACCCACTTCTTTGGGAGTCAGAGGAGACATGCAAGGCATAGTAGAGTTATTCCCTTTTCCCCTGTCAGAAGATAGCATTTTTATAGGGGGCACTAAGGTAGGTGAAGGCAGGGAGGGGTGTTACAGCAGTGAGAATGCTCTCTTACTTGGCAAAAGGCTGATGCACAGCAAGGCGAGAGAGATTTTTTTTTTTTAATAGAGTATAAATCCCACTGATTCCTAGCTTGTAGGCATTCAAGCCTATAGGTCTGGAGGAGGGAATCTCAATGAGGAGTAGGTTGTGGCTTGGTTTATCAGCTCAGAAAGGGCATTCCATATGTAACTTATCAATTGATACAGGCTCCTGTCATGCAGAAGTGTCTTAAATGCTCAAAGAGCTTTAAAAGGCATATGTGCACGGTTTTTACTTAAGCAGCAGTCAGCTACTGAACTCGCTGCCCTGCAGTCTTTCTTATATGAGCCTGCCGGGCCATGATTGGTTGCTCCTCTCAGCCCCATGCTAATTGGCTGCCTCCAGCGCAGCCTCCCTAGGGCTGCTTTTAACCCCTTTTCTGCCGGTGAGGAGCAGCCGTCCCATCACACTATCCTTTCTCTCCACTTGTTCTGCTGGGATCACTTTTTCTCCTAATTTTCAGCAGTTGTATGATAATGCTTGTTTTTCATCTGGCCTGGGTAGTGTGGTTTATAATCCAATATATTATAACCGTGCTGCACGCCGCTGCTTGGAATATTACAATGACAGAGGGACTAGAATGTAGGTCTTCCTGCTCCAAAAGTATGAGTTGCTGTCACTTGAGCTGAAGGACAGAGCCTGCACCCCCAGCCCAGAGCCCGTACCCCCTCCCGCACCCCTGCCCCAGCCCAGAGCCCCCTCCCACACCCTGAACCCCTCATTCCCAGCCCTACCCCGCAGCCCTCACCCCCACAGATGATGTGATTTTATGGTCAGGGACTGGTGTGTTGGAATCAATATGCCCATGATCTTTTTTAATAACATAACATTATTTGCTGTGGTATGGTCTTATTGGAATCTTGGAGATAAAGATCTTAAAGATACTTGGGGTTTTAGCTTAGCACATTTACTAGACATCTAGATATACTTTTTCTCTTTAAAACATTATCCAGCTCGTAAGGATCATATTGCTTTTCTTTTCCTAACACACTGGTAACTGATTGTTATTGTGCAGGGTCTTTTGGATGAAACCTTGAAATCAAGATTCTGACTGTTCTGCATGGACATTAAAAATCCCACAGCACTTCCTGTAACAGTAGGAGTTTGCCCCAGTGTCACTGGGCAGCAAATGTCCTCACCCCCCATTATGTGGCAATGCAGTATGTGCCAATCAGCTGTCTGACAGCCACTTTCAGTCTTGGACTTGGTTGCATTCCATTTGATGCAGTGATTCCTGTATATTATCCATAAAGTACTATCGGATGGAAGGATGGGATGAGCTACTTTTAAGGGGAGGGTGTAGCTGTCACCGCCTAAAGGTTTTTCTTTTGGCTTGTGTAAGTCATCCTGATCCCAGAATATGGCAGCTGAGACTCATTTCCACATTTGCAAGGCCTTGAGAGGAGGCATTTTGCTTTATCTGATTCTCTGCCTTATTCTGTCTGTAAATATCTGATATCTCTGACAGGCTGTTAACTACATCATTCAGTGATTCAGCTTGGGATGTGTTTATTAGCTTGCATTATATTAAATTGTTCTGTGCACTCCCTTTGAAAATCAGTCATTGACTGTCTCAGTTGGCTGGTTTTGTTCACTAATATTTCATTAGACATAATCGTTTTCTTATCAGCACTTGTTAAAGAACAATATAATATGACCATGGAGATGTCTCTTTCAGTTTCTTCCTCTGAGTGGTATTTTACATTGCGATTTTGAACTTTTGCATTTCATGTCATCATGTAAAATATTTCTTGTTCCATGAGAAAAGAAAATGCTGTCTTGTCACATGACTACTTTCAGCCACTCTCATGTCAGCATATTTTGGATGTTTACGATTTAGGGAATAGCTACTGAGATTGGTCGCCATTGCTCCAAATCAGATTGGGTGTACCAACGATTGCATCCTAACCGGATGCAACCGCGTTTAGTGATCACTGTTAACTTCTGAGCCAATCGCATACCAGATGCAAATCTCTGCTTATTGAGAGCTCACCAATGGTGAATAATTTTTGTTCGCTGGGCTTGTATCTTCACCTTTCCTTTAAGAAAAAGCTGTTATTCTTTTTGAAATTCCTGAGTATAATGAAGACATTTCAAGGGCCAAAAGCTGCATTAGTCCAATATCCAGGATTTGCCATGTAACAATCCTGGACAAGTGGCAAAATAGAACGGCTGATCTGAAGGACCAGCGTCTTTTTTAAGGTCTGATACCTCACAAACCACCAGGGCTGTGAGTCTGAGGAAGAGTGTGATGTGGTGGTGTAAGTGCACAGTTGACAGCTGCCAGCTGGCTATCTGCTATGGTGTCTGGGCTGTATTACATGGGTGGTCGATCAAGGATTTAGGTGTACATGGATACTAGGTCAAGGACTTAGATGTGGGAGAAAGGTAAGTGTCTGTCTGGGGAAGCTATGAGGAAAAAGACCATCCTGGTGAATTGCAAAGGGAGAACCAGAGAGAGATGAAGAGTTTGTCCTGGAGGAGAAAATTATGTCTATTTGTGTTGCAGAGGCCAAACATTTGTGTTGCTCCAGAGCTCATCAATACACCTTTTAGTTAATCACAGGAGGGCCTCTTTTAAAGAAAATGGATGGTGCTGTGTTGACTTGTTCCTGCACCAAGAAATTAACCTGAGAATAGATATAAAGTAACACCAGCAACAGGAAAGTTAATGAAACTGCTGAAAACGTTGACCCAGAACTGATGTGTCATCCTTGGGATTTAAAATGGATGACCGTTCTATTGCAGCGAGTTCTGTTGATTTAGGCAGTGGCAGATATCGATGGGATAGCAAGTTTGCTATATTAAAACTGACTGAGAGTGGTGTCTGGTCAAATTTATCTAAGGATGGACTAAAACCCTATTCTACAAACTAGAATAAAGCTTTTGATGCCAAATTTAAGAGAAACCCCTTCCTGTACTGATGTTTCTGAACTTCAACTTAGGGCACTAAAGTCCATGAAGGTGTGACAATAAGGGCCACTGCCATCCTGTAAGTA